AGCAAACTATTCATTTTACTTTAAAAAAAAAGAAGCTGCAAAAACACAAATTCTAAAAAAAAAAAAAAAAAAAAAAAAAAAAAAAAAACGTGTTTATTTTTATTTTTTTTTTATTTTATTTTTTATTGGAGGACACCGTAAACGCGCTACGGTAATAGCTTGTTATTCTGCAAAAGCCGGAGTTCAAAATGACAACGATCCCTTTTAACCTTTGCATTCAAAATCTTATCAGCAGATTTAATCCTCATTTGTATGTGTTTATGTGCTAGGTCCTGTACTTTTTATAGGTTTGCATGTGTACGATGGATGTTATAACACTCACCCTTCTGTCAGTTTAGTTAAAATAGCTCAAAGGCGCTGATGTCTGTGCCTATGTCCCGACGATCCCGCAGCAGCAGCAGATGGCAGGAATGAACGCTGCATGTTTGTTCACCGGTTAGTTCGTCCATGACTTTTGGTCGAACAGCAAACAGAGACTGAACACGCGACAGCAGTGGATGGAGCCTACCTTTTTTCTCTCTCTCTCTCTCTCTCTCTGTATCGTTTTCGGTGGCAGAAATTACCGTCTGAAACTTGGAGCCCCGCAGGGGAGAATCGGCTCGGGATGAGGGGCAGAGGACAGTGAAACGACGCTGCTTTGGTTTACAGGTCTTATTGTTTTATGCAGTCTGCAACTGGAGGACAAGTGTCATTAACCCGAGATAAATAACTAGGGCATCCTGCTATCAGAGTTTAGCTCTCACACAAGTAAGGAGTGAACAAAGTAGAGTTGGTGAGTTTAATAAGTACTTCTTGCTCTTGAATCTTTTCATTATTTGTCATATTAGATATATATTTTATTTGGATCTATTGAGACACAATAACAAAACACATTGATCTGGAAGGAAAAGAAAGCTATTGTTTTCCTTTTTTTTTTTTGCTGGAAAATTCTGAAAAGATTGTAGTGGGTGGAGCCCATTTCAATACTCCATAAATAAAATCCAAAATTGCCTTCAGAAGTAATCTGATTTTTATTGTGAATTGCTTTAATCTCAGCGTTAATGCAGCCACACTGTGAAAGTCTCAGAGATTTGTGAGGATATCAAAGAACAGCAGCACCATGAAGGCCAAGGGACACAGCAGACAGCTTATGAAACCATTATGCCAAATTTTAAACATCTCATTGTGTGTGTGCAACGTTTCACCCAAGACATAGCTGTTCAACTAATCTGATAGGCTTGAGAACGTTCAGTAGTGTAATAGGATTTTCAGAGATCTCAGTCAGAAAATTAGCAAAACTTACCCTATGAAATTGAAATTCTGATTGAGAATTTGTAATATATTGATCAGCCTAGAGTTTTGTATCAATTCGCTAAAGTTTAAACCAGATTAAACCATAGCACACAGATTGCTCTCGAATGTTAAACTATAAACATCTTCATTCAGTTTGTGGTATTAAATGTGAAATGCAAATTATTAGCAATAAACAATTAGCAAATCCCAGTAGTCGAAAACCTTCAACCAGAACACTTTCAGTTTTGCTGGGATATAATTCCCAGCTGAACTCCAAGTTTAGAGGCAAATTTCTAAGGCAAACCGAACATTACGAAAGAAGCAGCCGAGAGCCTCAAGGTGACTCTGGAGGAGCTGCAGGAATCAGTTGGTCATGACTAATAATCTTACACTGCAAAGACTCAGCAGATGTAAATATACATTTATTCCACACTTTTCAGATTTGTGTCGATAAGAGTTGTGAATCCATGGCTAATAACAAACATTGAGCTTGTTTATTTGTAACCCTCAATTGACATTTGAAGGTTAAAACTTAGTTTCAAACTAAGTGACAGTGAGTTTCATGTTGCAATTAGTATGGAATGTAATGCTCATGTGATGCCAGCGTTAAGAGAAACGATATGTTAGTGTGTGGGTGTGAAGGTCAGCAGCCAATGGGAGTGAATGAAGCAGTGCCACCCCTAGCAGGGAGATGAGCAGGAACATGTTGCATTGGTTGGTCGTTGACCCCCTAAATGCAGCTCTGGTGTCAGCGGTTCATAGAGGTTACCCTGGAAAGCAACTCCTAACACTCACTGAAAGATATTCCGAGCATGAAAGCACCTGACATGGGAAGTGACGTAATACAGTTCAACTATCTTGTATTTGCAGCCTTAAACCACATGGGGGAGCTGTTGTTGCAGGACCCAACCGTTTCAAATTTCGGACAAATTCAAGAATCGGTAACTTATTTGATTTCTTTTCTCTTTTTTTATTAGAAAAAATAGCCATGAAAGACAATAATAAAAAAATACAAAATAATTATCATAGAAATGTCCTACTTCAGAACAATGACACATAATAAAAACATGACATTCAGCATGTGCATACACATATTTGCATAAATAAAAAAAAACAAATCTATATAGTTTAATATGCTTAGGCTTCAGCAGTCTTTGATGAAGGTGCATTTGTTGCTGGAGGTGAGGGGAGGTTCTTGCTCAACGTGGAGAATCAGATCTGAGCTGTGGTGCTGCTGCTGCTGACTGAGCTGCTACTGAGATTGGTGGGCTTGGAAGTGGAGGTGGCCTTTCTCCTCCTAGAGATGACAACAAAGCAAAAATGATTTTGTTTAGCACGGGGTGCGATTCACTCTGAAACTGAAGTAAGAGAATGGTGGGTGTGTGGAAAAAGGCACACAGATTTATGTAATACTCACAAGACTCTGGTAAGCATCTTTTTCACAATTTGAAGTTCAGGGTTCAGACAGTAGCGGCCGTTTGCACTGGTCACACTGTGGGAATAGAAATAGAGAGATTAGCATAAAGTTGAACAGGTGAACAAAATTCAACATCTAATTAACATATGTGCATAGATTGTGAATCAAAAATAGCGATCTACGTTAAAGAATTGCTTAAGCGACATTTTTTCTCTTTATATATATATATATATATATATATATATATATATATATATATATATATATATATATATATATATATATATATATATATATATATATATGTTTTTTTCTTTTTTTTGCAAAGATATCCACAATTTTAACTTGAAAGATGTGACTTACACAATCTCTACTTTGTCACAGAAGATAGTTGCAGGGTAAATCTGGATGTCCCTTATGTCACTCTTTGAGAAGACGCCGTTTCTGACACGCTGACAAAGACAGCTCTGTCCTGGTTCGTTCACTAAAAAAACAGACAAAAATGAAGTTATTACCCCAATCTGACAAATCTCAACACATGCTGAAAAAAAGCATCCTTACAGTTTTTGAATTTCAAAATGCTAGTCTTTAGTAGAAACTTACGCTGGGCTTTAGAGATGCAGACTGCAACGGCCAGGAGAAGAAACACCTTCATGATGCCAGACATCTTTGGTTTCTTTAGTTGAGATAGAGCCGGTGGTCAAAATGAGAAAGCAGCAGGTTTGTTGAGTCAAGTGCTGTGATGGATAGAGGCAGTGGAAGCCCTCTTTAATACCATCTGGAGATGCTTACCTCATCTCTCCTGTGACAAAAGGGAATTTTTTCAGACTGGAAACTGAAACCCTAAAACCCACAGGAAAAAAAAAAAACAAAAGAACTTCCTGCTCATCCTCCTGCCCCCTGAGTTCAATTTTGCGTTTGAAATTGGACAGTATTGGGCAAATAAAAACTAAATTAACCAAATGTATTGTTACATCACTGAGAAAAACACAAGTTTGTAAAGACTGAATTAACAGCTAAATAGCAAATATATTAGATATTAAATTTAATCATGTATAATGTACAGACACAAGGATTGAATTAAATTAAATTAGAAAGCCTATAACTAGAAATTAACATTTATCTCTTCTTGATGAGTTTTTTTTGTTGTTGTTTATTTTTAACTCAGAATTTCATTAATCAATCAAAGAAGATATATTTTCAAGTCTTTATATTTCTTGCAGTACAGACTGGAAAATAAAGTCATATTTATCATTTTTAAAAGGTGAGACAATGACTTCATACCTTATAAAAAAAAAACTGCAGTTCAGACATGTGTGGATAATTGACAGACTAAAGTGTGGGCTGCGATCTTTGCAAATGTTTTTTTCATGTCTATACAGCAAGCAGCAGTGGTTAACACCTCTAGCAAATGCAACACTGAATGAAATGCCTGTGGCCCCGGAAAAACAAAAAAAAAAGAAAGAAAAACCAAAGCAGTCTTTTTTATTTCTTTCCACTGCAAATGTGTGGGATTTTATCTTGACATTTACTTTTATATGTGTGAATGTGGTCTCTTATCTGATAGAGTATTACTTCAATTTCCTCCACAGTTGTTTGATACTTTCCCTCTTCTCAGACACAGATCTCTGATTTATTTTCACCCCACGTGTATTATCAGAAAAATGGTTGATTTTAGAACATGACTTTATGCTTGTGTTTCACTTTTAGGTCCTCTTTCACTTTTTCTAAGTCTCAAAAGTCAGATAGGATCCCAGCCTCTGTTTCCTTCTCTATTTCTAACTGTACTGTCATGTAGCACCGGGTTTAGAAACCACAAAGTTTCAGTGTAACAACAAAAGAGGTGAATAGACCAAAGCAGGTTATTTTTTTATTAAAAGTTGCTAAAAGTGGGGTCCTGTGGTGGCACAGGAGTTAAACACAACCAGCTTGTGGAGGCCTTAGTCTTTGACGTGGCTGCTGCAGGTTTGGTTCCCAGCCTGGTGACCTTTGCTGCATGTCTTCCCCCTTCTTTCATTACCCACTTTCCTGTCAATTCACTATCAAATAAAGGTCACAGGAGACAATAAAACCTTAAAAAAAAAAAAAAAAAAAAAAAAGTTCCTAAACGTTAAAATTAAGAAAAAGGCAAAACGGAAATGAATAGGACTCCTTTAATTCCAAGCAATTAACAAATACATGGTGTTCTGAGTTGACAAAGTCGGCCTGGTTACAGTAGGTGCTGGACCTTTATGTTTCACCAGAATGAGTTCACTCAGTGTTACATATACTTTTAAAGCTCGTCTTAAAGCCCATCTATTTTACTTGGCTTTCAACTCTAGCGGGATCTAGTTTTAAATTGTATGTTTTTGTTTTTAAACTGTAAGTTCTTATTTTTTGTTTTTTTATTGTTATGTTGTGTTTTGATGTACAGCACTTTGTATCAGCTGTGGTTGTTTTAAAGTGCTTTATAAATAAAGTTGGTATGGTATGGTATGCGGTGTTATGTATTTTAATTATTTTATTTTTTCATTAAAAACATAGCTGGATAATGATCAAATTTTGCTGTAGGATTTTACAAACAAACAAAATATTTGTATAAACCCTTCTAATTTTATTTTGGGTGCATTCTGGCTAATGACATCACACATGGCACGTGAATTAAGATAATCAATGTCACTTGGACAAAATGTAAATAAATACATTATAAGGATGACTTTGATTAAAAAACAACAAAAAACAATAAGGATATGCACAAAACAACTCAGAGAGTAGATTTGGATGTGTGATTCAATAATGTTTCATGATTTAAAAAGTCAATAGAAATGCATTTGATCATGGCATCTTGCTCTTTACATGGCAAAAGTTAAAGTGGGTCTTTGATGAAATTTCTGGCTGCTATCTTTAACTGTGCTACCAAAGAAATGCAACTCTTCCTTTAGATAAGAGTGGATAAGAGAGGCTTAAATTATTGCACAATAGTCAAGTATCAATTTGTTATGATCTGAGGGTGGAGTTCAGGCAAAAAACCCGTCATAATTATGAAAACTATTCTTGGTTTGTTCTCTGAAACTAGAATTTCTAAGCTTCCAGTAGGAAACCCCAACAAAGTCAAAACTACTACTTGGACAGTCACAGATTTCCTACCAACCCCAACCTCAGAATCCAATATGGCTTCTGAGCCATATTCATGTCAGATACTAAGTCCTACACTTTGCACACCAGAAAGTCTTTTGGTGAACATTCCTCAGTAGATTTTGAGTCTTTTCTAAACTCCAAATGATTGTTTTTGCCGTTTTTTCCCTGCATTTGGTTCCATCCTTTCTCATGTCAACCCCGACCAACTACAACTGTTCCTGCTCAATAAAAGCAACCCACGACACGAGGCTGCCACCAACATGTTACAGAGGGAATCTCAGCAGCTCCTCCAGAGTTACCATCTGCTATTTATAAACTTTCTTCTTGGCTGATCTCTCAGATCTAGCCATGTCTTGGTAGGTTTGCAATTGCACCACATTCACACAGACATGGTCTCTATTTTTTATTTTTTTAACATCATCTAAATTCAGTTGGTTTTGGTGAAAGTTGCCTGACTGTGAATTTTTGAAATGTTGAAAATTCTGCGTTCTTTTTCGCAGACCCGAAATGTCCCAAAACGTGGTCAACTCTAAACCATACATGTGACTAAAGGTTTCATCTGTAAATAACTTAAAAATGTCTCGCATGCCACATTGAAATGGCAATTAAGTATGATTGCAGCATCATACTTTAAAAAAATGTACTATTTATGTACAAAAACTAAACCTTAAAAACACTCATTTGTATATTTAGAGGGTTATACATTATAATGTTAGGTGTAAATTTGAGCAAAACAAATATTTAAATCTGGCATTTCTGCAACAATGGTCTTGCCTGACATTTAAAAGAAGTGAAAGGGACTTTTGTGTATTGCAGCACAGAGCTCAGTCTCTACAACTCTGATGATCCTGTGGTCAGAAAGTGTGATCTGAAACCATCCCCAGTTTAAAAAAAATGCTGGTGCTGACTGAGTAATTTTAATACTTTCTGATGATGCCCTTATATTAATTAATGGAAATTTCTATTTTTTTGCCACTCCTAATTACATTTTTGTTGTAACTAACTGACAGCACCCGGAAAGTTTAAATGTTTCTTTTTCTTTTCTTTTTTTATTTTTTTAATCTTCTGGTAATACTTTAGCTTTTGCATTTGTGGGTTTTGACTTTACAAACCAGTAACCCCCCCCCCCCCCCCAAAAAAAAAAAAAACACTTATTAAATATTTAGACGTGATGTGTGGAGGACGTTACATCTTCCATTTAGAGTGAAATGGCCTGAGTGGTGAATGTAAACTTTCCTTTTCCACTTTCCTTTTCCCTTTTGGTAACAAGCTGAATCTAGTGGATGTGCCGGGGATTGCCCACCACACGTGTCTTTATTGGTTTGTGTCCTTGTGAGTCAGACCACATTTCCACCAGAAGCCCCATGTAGCAATGAGCCGAGAGGAAAAAAATACGTCGGCAGTGTCTCTTCCTCTGCAGACACTTCGCTAGCCGTCCAGTTCAGTTACACTTCTCATTTTTCTATAAACAACCTTTTTGAGGGAAAAGCCTGAAAAATAAACAGAAACTAGACAACTGAAGTACAACTAAGTTGGAATATGGACAGTGCTGCATTTTAGATGTAAACTGATAGGTTTTCTACATGATTTAAGGGGGACCTATTAGGCAAAATTCACTTTCTGCACATTCTGGTCTGTAGGACTTCTACAAAAAGTCCACTAAAAAGTACCCTGCTGCTTTTTTTTTTTTTTGTCTGTAATTAAATGCTCAGAATGATTTTGTGCAAAAAAAATGTAATGATCATGTTTGGTATTGTCCAAAGACCTAAACTAACTTGTTCAATTAATCATAGCTTGCCTGTAACTCAGGGAACTGATATGAAAGAGAAATAGGCTGTCATACATGTTCAACCGTTCGTAACAGTCAGAGTGGGTTGCTCTTTCGCAAATTTCTCCTTTGTCTCAAACCAGATCGAGTTGAAATACCTATAGCCACAATGCTACTTTCTATTACTATTGGCAGAAATTTGCAAAGAAAGCAATCCGGAAGCGGCAACAATTTTTCTTGCCGCTGATAAGCTTTACCCCCGAGCAGGGGCGCCGTATAGGGGGGGAAAGTGATGACAATTCTAGGGGCCCTGACCAACAGGGGGCCCTCCACAATTTATTTATTTATTTTTTGTTCATGGAAATTAAAAAAAAAAAAAAAAAATTGGGGCCCTGTCAATTACAAAATTAATCATATTGAATTTTAGAAGATTGTTTTTGGCAGTAAAAATGTAATGTTCCCACTCCCAGACCAGAAAACACATGGATTTTTTTAGAGGGTGCTTCAGGTATGAAGGATTTCACAGCTGTGGTCTCTAACCCCTGTGAATACGAGGGTTTACTGTCGTAAGTGAAACGCTCCTCTTTGTCATCGTATTCACCAGGAACATAGTAAATAACTGGTTACTAAATAAAAGTAACCAACTTAAACATGCAATTTATGTTTTAACAACTCTTTGCTTACATTTATTTTATAAAAATCATCACCAAGGTGATAAAACATCACCTTGGTGATGATTTTATTTCTTAGCCTTTACATTTTTTGACTTAAATTAAGCAACTGCAATACAAATTCAATTTCTCTTGAAAGATTTACTGTACTTATTTTAGTTCATTTTTTAGTGACTCAGAGTTTTAAGATTTTAGATCTTTATAAATAGTAGCACATTTTGTTCTAACTTACACAACAATAACTTGTTACTCTAAGCTACTGTGTAAAGACAGAAGTTCAAAAGGCTAAAAAAACAGTTTCACTCGATATTTGAAGAAATGCTCCTTCGTGTGGCTCTTGACGGTGGCTCAGAGCTACCGCAAAATGATTTAAAGCTTCCTGTGTCGTCTTTGCCTATTCATCCGTTTTACATCTTTGACTTTCTAAGCCACACTTTGTGCTCGTCCTGTTGTGGTCAAAATGTTGTGTCTTATGCTTATTTGTTTTCATTTATGTTTGATGTACTGGTGTCCCTGACACAGAAAAAAAGTTGTTGTTTTTTTTTTCTTTAAGGGAAATTGTGTTTCTGACATTCTTATAAGTAAACATTTCTGCATCAGTTAGAATCAAGGCAGGAACTTAAGTTCCAGTCATTGCAAAATGTGATTTTCACCTAAAAATCCCCTTCAAAAACACTTATAGCAGAGGAGACTGAAGTTAATCTCAAAAGCATCCTTCACATGCAATTCAGGTTTGATCGGCTTTGCGGTTGTGAAGAAAAAAACTTCCTTGTCAGGTACGCTGAAGTAAGTGTGAAAAGCAACACTGCACAGGACCCCGTAATCTCTTTCCTGTTCGACAGAAAAGTGCTTCACTAGAACATACACATTTCCAACAACTCTTCACACCTCTGTGCTCATACATGTTCTCTGAAAATGACGAATTTCGTAGAATGAATGTATAGAAACCAAACCCTTCTAAAAAAAAAAAAAAATCAGATATGTGTCAAAGAAAATGAATATTTATGCATTTCGACTGTAATTTAAAATAAGAAGACCATGTAAGTAAAAAAAAAAAATTAAAAGACAGACAACTGTAAAAATGTTAATCTATAAGAATTCTAACATTATCTACGATATCTTAACATAACCCGAAAGCGATGGAAAGAAAAATGATTCATTTCAAGACTTAGTGTTGATACTATATGTACGTGCACTGAAAAGACAGAATCAAAATAAATATTATTAACAAGGTGGTGAAAACAAGTGAAAAAGCCAAATGTCCTTCTATTTAGCATTTCTGTTCCAAAGATAAAAAAGCTAACCTTTTATTAATGTCACCATCTGAGGCTGGAATGTTGTTTTTTTTTAAAGTTTTGTGTTATTGATTTTTGTCACAGAGTTTTATTTTTCCCCAGGATGTTACATACTTTTTGTCTTTTCAAGTTCTGCCCTTATTATTTAGATCAGGTCATTGTTCCTTGCTTATCATGTTCCGACCTGCTTCTTGATTCACATTAGCCCAATTGTATCAACTGAGTCTCCTTCCAGGCACCAGCTTTCTTCACACCGTCACTTTCACAGACATGTGGCTCACAGCTTCAACCAGACAAACCCATAGCCAAGGTGCTGGCAAGGCACTCTGTGTGATAAATGAGATTTCACAACATGTCAAGTGACATCAAGAGCAGTATTGGTTGAGAAACGTCAGTGTATTATTTATTATTTTCCTCCCTATTGTCTGAATGAGATTACTCCCGTTGACAATGACCACTAATCTTATGAAAATTCTGTTTCTATGATTATGTCAGCTGAATATGGTTCAATGTTGTAATTGGGAATTTGAAAAGCCAGGACGGCAGCAGTGGACTGGCTTGCAGTACCATTTTTTCAACATAATTAAAGTTTTTAATCAGGGTGTTTTATTTTCCAGCTAACTTAAGATAAGTCTAATCACACCATCTGGTATTTTTTTCCTAGGGCAGAATAATAGCTTCATCACTCTTTGGTTTTGCAACATTTGAATTCAACTGTTTGACTGAGTGACCAAATTGGTAAAGTAACATTCATTTGATTTTTGGGATAAAATGGAGGTAATGTAGTGAATAAATCACATAAATAATATAAATCACATATAACAACTTAGTAATAAGTTACTATACATCCATATATTATCTACACCTGCCTTTCCTTGCAGGGTGACGGCAGGAGGTGGTGGCTATTTCCAGCATTTATTCAGCAAGAAATGACATGTGCACTGGGCAGGTTGCCAGTCCATTACGGAGGGTACTGCACGATAAAGTACACATAATGTAAACGCAGTTGAAATATGTTGATATGTCGTGAATTGTGAAACATTAACATTTTCTGCTGTCCTCACTTCTTCAGGCACCTTGATGGTCGATAAAACAGAAAATACTTATGTAGCATACTATATGCAGGTATTTTCCGTTTTATCCATCATCAACAAATAGTACATTTCCACCCTCTTGTGGCTCAAAATAAAATTACTTTTTGCTTGCTGATAAAATGTGAAACCTATCATAGATTCAGATATTGCAGGTCACTCTACAGTCATTGTCAGACCTGTCTCATAATGTTATTAATGTGAATGCTGCAGGCATTCACATTAATAATGCCAACAGTATTAATGTGCTGTGCTAGTGATAGCATGCTATTGACAGCATTTCATTTTACACTAGATTTTTAGCTAACATCTTATCACACTTATTGCATCTTCATTATTATCACACTAGATGGAAGAATTTATTATGAAATATGGTAGCGACCTACCATGTCAGCCGCTCTGCACGGATTAGCTAAAATCATTTTCTTACTCTTTAAATTCTTCAACATATGATAAGGAGAAAGTTTTGCTTTGAAAGGATATTGCAGACTGTTTTACTTTTTTAATGTTTCTGACTTATAGATTTCTGGGTTTTTTCACACTGTTTCACTGTTTCACACAGGAGTAGGTCAACATAGTGCTAGCTTAGATGCTATCATTATTATTTTAGCTAGTTTTAGCTTGAGCTAATTGTAGCCTTTAGAGGGTTTTTTTTTTTCACTCTGCGTAGAGGATGTTACTGTAGGTGAAGGTACTAGTCCTAACCTAGAGCTCTCATTAATATTTTAGCAAGCTTTAGCTTTTTAGCTTATCAACTGTTATGACTTTACATCTTAGCTTTGTAAGTGTTCAGCACAAAGTATTTGGGTGAGATTTTTTTGCATGACTGAATGTTTTCAGTCCTCTTCTACAGTTTTTTCTATTTTGCAGGCTTTTGCTTTCGGCTGCTTCTGCCTGTTTATTACATTTCTCCAAGTCTTCTGCAGTTGACTTGAAATGCTTCTGCAGTTTCACTAAAAATATGCTTACAGCATTCACAATGCATTCAGCAGGAAATACAAATCTTTCTAGTTATGTGTAGCCTAACTATGACTAGTTGACAAGAGCAACCACAATGAGTGGGTTCATTATGGTTGCCCTCGTTTTACATGTTTGTCTTCTCTTGCCATGCAGGAGCAGCAGAGCAACAGCCTGCGTCTTGCATGTGTGGGTTCACTTGTGTCATTTGTGTTCAGCCTGTCTTCCTCCACACTGATGTTTACCAGTACAGGATCCCACGTCAGTTGCCATAGAAACTCTACTGCTTGGCACCAGGCTCAGCCGAAAGGCTTGTTATTGAGGGGTTTCCACCTACAAGACCATGCAAAGATGTAACAGAGAGGAAAATCACAGACTGCATATCAAAGACAGGTTTATTTGTTTTTGCTTTACAAGTCATTACACACAATATATAAAACAAGATTGGTCCATGTTCATGTATTTACAAGAGCAACACAGCAAACACTAAGAGTATGAAACACTGACAACATTTCTTTTCCTCTGTATGTTTTCAAACATGTATTTCTACATGTGTCAGAATCAGAGCCTGTCTGAGACATAAGCTGCTTTGGGAATCTTGCTCACCTGGGGGCCTCAATTTCAACAAAGAATAGCTGAAAAATCAATAAATCGCAAAATAAATTGTACAACCATTTATTTAAACAAATTCATGATTAACTACTCATGATTTATTCACGTCCACTGTTTGACTCAAAGCTGGGAATATGCTTCATCATGTCAGCGTAGGTTTTATCCTGCAGCTTGTGAATGTGAAAACACCACCAAGGGTGTAAAAATATTGTTAACTGGGTTTGTTGGTTTCCACGTTATGGTTCAAAATTGGTTTTGCATTCTAACCTCGGTTCCTGTCTGACCTTGGACACAGCTCTGCCCCGAATGTCTCATGCTCTGACATGAGAAATATGTTGTGTTTATTTTTCAGGAATGTTCCAGTCACTGTTCCTTGCACTCGCTACACTTCGGCAATAGCGGGCAGCATGCAGGCCCGAACACGTGCCTCTCTCCATGCTGACCGACAGTCTGAGATCCACTGTGAGATCAAGGATTGTTGGGTGGCTGGATTGAATCTTGTTCCTTTTTCTCCTTTGTCCACTGGTCCGACTCGCCTGACCTCTGACCTGGGTAAGCTGCGCGCTGGGCAACTACTTGCAGTCGAGGTGTTGACGTCAGAGAGGATTTCAGGGCAGCTGCTCTTGCGCTGGAACGGCAAATCTGGGCTCAAAGTGTGGGGCGTGCTGTTTGCTCTGCTTCGAGCTGGGGCCTCCAGTATGGCTCCACGCTGACCTGCCAACCTTCCCTTAACAAACGCTTTCCTCACCCTTCCTGGAAGGGCTAGAAGGTTATTCTGATTTCCATAGAGATACTCCAACGGGTCAGAGTTACAGCACATAAGCTCGCCGTTCAGTTTTTTCTCTTCTGTCTGCAGGGAACCACTGCCATTTTCCTCCTCGTTGAGACTAAACTCCAGCGGAGACAAAGCGGTCGCGATGAGCCTCTGCTGCACAGCCTCCTGATTTTGGGGGAAAACATCTCTGGCAGGAAAGGTGGGGCGGGCCAGGTGACAGATGGAGAGAAAGTAGTCCTCTGACGAGACGCCTTGGCTGTTGTCAGCAAAATGAAACGTGTTCGCTTCGTTTAGGTCTTTCACCATCTCCTCCATGCCCTCTGTGATTGTGGGCAGCATAATCCTCCTCTTGCTCAGCAGTCTTGACCTTGGCCGCATATCTAGAAGCAGGAAGGAGAAAATGTTTTTACATTTAAAACAACCATAGGGATGCACGCAGGGAGCGTGTTTGACAATCAATACAGCTATTTGGTTCACAAGACTGCAACGAGGCAAAAAGTTATTTTCGCTGTTATTTCCTTATTTTGAGAAAATTCTTTTGAATTTGAAGCCCAATCTGTGTCTTAAAGATTGTAGTCAGTGTAATTTAATGAAACCACAGGTTGACTTGTCTTTACGTTCAGACATATCTCTATCACAGGTTGTATCAGTGACACTGAAAATACTCACAGAAAACAGCTTTTTAAATATAATTCCCAACCTCTGTCTTTAGAAGAACCTGCAACATAAAATAAGCCAGTCCAGGTTTAGACTTTGCACAGTTTTAATGTTGTCCAATTTCCTTGGTCAAAACACACACACACACACACACGCACGCACGCACACACACGCACACACACACACATCAGTTTTGAGAGTTTAGAAGTCAGATGTTATGCCACAGCCAAGCGTTGTATAACCCTGATTAGAGTTACCTACTATGTCAAGACCAGGTCAAAAATTATAATCTAGCCTTGTAACCTGCATAATGCTTTAATGGACCATTTCCAAAATGCCATAATCTTTGGACATGACCACAGGGCATGCACCAGATTACCGCCACACCTCTGGTGGTATTTCCTTCATACCTGGTCTGACCAACCAACTTGGACACCAATAAAAAGGATAGAGAATTTTGAATTGAATCTTATCTACGAGTTTTTACAAAAGAACAAATAGTCAGTTCCCTTTCACGTAAAATATGTGAAGCGGAGCTCTGCAAATGAGCAGAATAAATCTGGATCAACATACATGTTTTGGAGAAGTCTCTTTTTGTTTGATTTCTAACTCTCCTCCTTTCCCCTCATTAGACTAATGTGCTTTTCATAATCTGAAACTTTCTCACATGATCCGTAGCAGTCCGGAGACTGCGTTTCAAAACAGCTATCCCCTGACTGCATCAATCAAGACAAACAAACAAATCTCCCTTTCTCCCTCCCTCTCTCTCTCTCTCTCTCTCTTCCTCTTTCACCCGTTTTGGGCATCATCCCCTTGCTTACTCTGGATCTGCATCCCCAAAACACAACCGATCTTGCTGGATAAACAGAGGACTATTTTAAATCCCCATCTCAGTCATGTCAAGTCACACATCATGTCAGGCTGTATTTTGCTTTCAACCTCAAGCGAGGCTCGCAACGTATTTTTGTCTTAACCTTCGTGACCAAAAATAGAGAAACGCCTCAAACCACGAAACGCCAGCCTCTCCCAGTTTCTTCCAAGGTGTAACCAGGCTAAATTTAAGTCCCTCCTTTGATACACAATGGCTAAAAATGGCTCCACGCTCGGAGCTCAAGGCTGAAACAGAATATATCGCCTTTACAACTCGTGCAGGTCACACTCACCTGGTAACAGACGGCAGCTGCCAGTGTCCCTTGAGTCCTGTCTTTACGCTGCAGTTGAAATCTGAATCAGTCGGTTTTTGCCTTACTTCAGCTCCTGTGCTTGAATCCAGTAGTGCTGCTCTGAAGCATCAGCTGTCTCTGAGCAGAGGCAGAGGCTGAATGGAGATTTATCTCCTCCACACATCCCTCCCTCCTCTCTCTTTACTCCCCCTCTCTCCATAGCTTACTTTTGGTTTGCCCTCCTTCCCTGCTTCTAAAAATAGGCACACCGTCCATTTCCTCAGCTCCAGCACTGACTCTGACTGTAATGATGGAGGGAAGGAAACAGAGGCAGGGAAAAAGAGGGAAAGTTAAGGAGGAGACAGAAAAGAAGAAGAGGACAAACAAAAAAAAAATGGGAAAAAAAATACATATACATGTTGTTTTTTGGCAAACCTTTTCATACCTAACTTGATAACTTTTGTCCAAATGAAAGCGGACAAGCTTCAAAAACACCTGGTGTTCCTGCATACAGCTTGGAATGCTCGAAATGTTGATTAGCTGACGTGCATGTGAGAGCTCTGCACATGGCTGCTCTGCCTGGGAGACCAATGTGTGCATGCACAACACGACTGCATAACAGAGATCTATAAGAAGGATTTCATGTGACTCAATACATGGCACATGAGTCACCCATTCCTCTTTAGACGCACATTTTTAGCCCTTGAATGCTGCTGTAAGCCTCGTTTCTTTTTTCACTGAGATCTAAAGTGGCATGCAAAAGTTAGCAAACCGCATTGTACGCACAAGGTTTTTGTGATGGACCAACTCAAAGTAGTGTCTGACTGAATGATGCCTTCAAACAACGTTCACAAACGAGCAGATGAAAAGAGTGGGGTGCATGTGCATTCAGCCCATTTTTCTATGATGAATCTAAATAAAATCCAGGGCAGTAATGTCTGAAGAGGACACCTAATGAGTATATCATGGACGAGAACTTGTTAGGGGCTGCGAAAGATTGTAAAAATACAGCGCTCCAAAGCATATTTTATGTGTTAGAATGGCTCTGTGAAAGTTCATACCTAAACCTAATTCCAAATTCATTGCAAGAGTTTAAAATAGCTGTTTACAGAAACTTTCTATCCAATCTGATTGAGTTTTGCAGACAAGAATGTCCAAGCCATCCATTTTTTTACACCCTAGTGGGGGTGGGAGGGATACTGGTGCCTATTTCCTGAGAGACATTTCGTGCGAGAGGCGGGGTAAACCCTGGACAGGTCGCCAGTCCATCGCAGGGAAACACAGAGACAAATAGGACAAAGTCGAGGAGAACTTAGAGAGACCAATTAATGTTTTTGGGCTGAGGAAGTCGGAGTACCTGGAGAGAACCCATGCATGCACTGGGAGAACATTAAAGCTCCATGCAGAAAGCTTCTGGGCCTGGAATTGAACTCAGGACCTTCTTGCTGCAAGGCTACCAACTGTGCCACTGTACAGAGTGAAGAATGTGCCTTAATGAAGTCTCTAGATGTGTAAAACTGTTGTTTTTAAAGAGACCTAGCATATCATAGGAGTGAAAACATAAAGGCATCTTGGAAGGCCTGTAGACAGGTGTTAGCAGCTATAGTTGCTATCCAGTCTGACTGAACCTGATTTATTTTGCAATGAAGAATGAGGAAGATATAAGTTGTAAGGCTTATATAGATATAGCTCAAATTAAGAGTATGATCATAAAATACTGGAGAAAAAAGGTTTTCATTTGCGGACACAGAACAAAAAATACATTGTGGTTAAAAGCGGAGAAAAACAAAATCCCATTTTCAGGAATCGGTGCTGTTATAAAAAGATTTATCACATTGTATTTAGAGAAATACAAAGTGATTTCAATAACTTTGTGTTTTTTGTGGCTTTTTGTGTGGCATAGAGGGACGATTGTGATGATGGACCTACAAATGGTACAAAGAATTGTTTTTGTATTTTCTGTGCACCATTATTATTATTATTATTATTATTATTATTATTTTATTTTTTCTGTGCCCATTTTTTTATTGAAATTAAATTTAAAAGACAGTTTCTCCAAATGTTGTGGTGTAAGTTATTTTGAATTCATGAAACAAGCTGCTGGTTGACTTGTTTTTCCATGTAACAAATCACAAGGATTTCTGTGGAGCCTCTGACCACATCAAAAGTCAGTCATGGGTTTTCAAACATGATCAAATATGACCCCTAACTACTGAGAAAAAAAACGAAATTTCCCCAATTGCAGACTTCACAATCAGCTTTTGTTGGGATGTTAACACAGTTAGTGGTAATCAAATTTCAAAGTAATCTAAATCCCACATATAGAATAAATGTTTCTTTCAAGTTTATGGAGAACGATGAAGTGTCTTTGTGACTGTGTCTTTAGGTAAAATTTGAAGTTCATGTCTTTTGCTGACCTAAAAACACACTGTGGTTGCAATTATAGATGCGTAAATAGACAAAGAAGTAAACAATGCCTAATGTTTGCTATTCTCACAATCACTGGCGTGAGAAAAAAAACAGACCTTGGCTGATTCAATATGCCACCAAAGTCTAATTAAAGATCATTTTACACTTCAAATGCTCATCTAGCAGGTTAACCTTCACCCAATGTTCTTTTTTTTTTCATTTACTAGCTTTGGTACGTTTCCCAGGTACTACCAGAGAGGACAAAAGCATCATCAGGCAGTATAAACACGAGCGTACAGATTTATGTGGCTTACTGGCCTTTACAATGTTTGCAGAAACACTCTCTGCACTGCCGTCACACAAACACTAAGCCTGCTCAGTGCAGACTGCACCCCCGCCCCTGTGAGCCAAGCTAACAAATGCTCTCAGAAAAGTAAACTTTTATGAATGCACATCCAAAAGAGGGTAGAATAGTATTCTATCCTCTTTAGTTTGACACCCCCAAATGAAATCCAATGGAAAGAATTGTTTTTGAAGTCACCTAATCAGCAAATATAGCTTACATTTTTTTAAAAATTCATTTTAATTTTCTTCCAATAATCTTTTATTGCAGTAGCATAAACTTGAGAAACAATACCTTTTATGCTTGCAGTAGGTAACCTTTGTACAAATTTGTTTTTTCCACATTTGCTAAAACTGTCCTCCTGACAATATGATAATATGAGACAGTTAATCTGCTTTAAAAAAAATCAAGCTCCTCTCCCTCCTCCACCAGAAGAAAACATTTGAAAACAAATTTTGAGACATTTTTTAATAATTGTTACAGATATTCTCTGTCCACACCCCTTCTCCTGTAAAATCAGCTGCTTTTTTATCTCCTATATACAGGCTGAAGGATTCAACAATAAAAAATAAAAAAAACAACAACAACAACAGTGCTTAGTGCATAGGGGTGGGTGTGGCTGTACAGGGCAAAGTGACCTGGGATGATGCAGATGAGTCTGCGGTTTCTGCATCCGTTCCATCAACAGGCTCCCTGTCTTTATATGGCTCTCTAATGGAGAGCTCACAACAGCATTCTCCTCAAACAAACAGACTCAGAGATTTACACACGCAGGCGCATTGCTTGTTTTGGATAGCAGACAGACTCTCAGGCACCACACTCAAGGCTCCCGTCGATGTGGACGCTGCTGATGACAAACAGCCAACATATCAGTCTGGCTTCACTACTCCCTAACTCTTCAGCAGAAAAAAATAAAAGAAAAATATGGAAAAAGCAACAAACGTGGGATTGTTTCAAACTGACATCTCTTTGTATCCATGACATTGTACTTAAAGGGAAATGTCTGTCTTATCGGTCAGCTTACTCGTCACTAATGATTGATTGTGGTGTTTTGCTGTGGATCAAACTTGAGGAAGTGTTGATGTGGTATTTGTCCCAAAGAGACTAACAAATTCCATTTCAAAAAATGACCCCATTAATGCATAATGTGATTAAGTAATACACCCTGTACAATATAAGTGAAACGTGAACCAGTTTCTATGGGGAAATTGCAAATGTATACAGTAAAACAAGGGCAGTGACCTGGCGACAAAAACTGTACACAGCCATAAACTAATCTCACCCAGAAAGTTGCAATGTTCTGTCTGCAACTAATAATCCAAATTCACTCATCACTGACAAAATGTACCTACAATTTTCACATGTAATCAAAACTTTTCCAGTAATCTGTTTTGCTTACTTTTTTAAATTGCATGGCTGGCTAAATATTCATCATCACTACTCCATTGACTCCTATAGTCAGCTGATGTAGGCCTGAGGAAATCTTACTTGACCTGTCTGGGGTATGACTGAGGTGGGCTGACTTCTACCTCCCTTGGTGTATTGTGGTGTATTTGTTCTTAAAAAAAAAAAAAAAAACTATAAAAAAAACACAAAAAAAACAAGGGAAGATGGCAAAAAAAAAAGTCCCTAAATGCCACTTTAAAGTGTTTTGTGAAAGAAGCTAATGAGAGACGGGAATCTGTCAGGAGCTAAGAGGTGTCTAGCTGCTTTGATTTATCGTGATCTCAGTTTTTACGTTATAAAAACCTGACACATTGTCAATAGTGTGCACACTTTTAAGATGCACAGTAGGTTTCTTCATCTCCCCACACTTTGTTTGAAATCTTGTCCTCTTCCACTTAGGACTGTTCAGTCATAGGGCATTTGTGGTTGATAAAAGCTTCGGCGTACACTCCAGATCAAAAGAACAGGGCGTCTTAAAGCGAACCATTTTATTGATTTTTATCACTCAGTTCCCAGCTGCCAGAGAGATTCTGAGAAATGATCATCCGTCCTCCGGAGGGCAGACATGGATGTTTCCTTGAAAAGAGGTGCACTTCCAGGAGACGTTTGTTTTGAAACGTTTGGAGGAAATTGAATTATAGTGGCGGGAACAGACAACTAGACCTTTTGTGATCGGGTTGAATCAGGTCTGCATACATAACTGTTTGAAGGTTTAGGGCTTTTATAACCAATTCCAATTAGATGTTAAATGTGGCATAAATTAAAGGATAACTGCAATAAG